TGGACCTGTCGTCAGACAGAACACTAAATAAATACATCGATGTCGTTGTGCAGTGTAGGGCTTATACTGATAATTACCTTTGTCATCATTGGAGTTCATGGATAAGACCGGTAAGGGATACAAAAGTACACATCTTAAGTTTGTGTCCTCGAAGGCAGAATATGTCTTGCCGTTGTCGGTGTTGATCTTGTTGGGAAATAACGCCGTGCGAATTTGTATGATGGTACTAACGTTTCGGAGGAACATACTGCTTCCATCTTCAGGGCTAATGTATGTTTCTCCGAAACATTGGTATCTAGCTATAAGTCCACGTGACGTTACTATCAAGAAGTACATGGACATCTTAATCTTGACAACCTCAAATGTCGCATCTTTTCAATCTTTTCTCATCAATTTTTTCCGTATATGTGGGATGGGTTGAAACATGGCAAGTTTAAAATATTTGCGAACTGCAGTTATTATTATATTATTTAGTGTTCTGTCTGACGACAGGTCCATATGAACAGGATCCTTCCATCCTTTTCTCGGACTGGGACCTGTTCATATACGTTCTTGGCAGATGATCCAGAAGTGGTTTGCCATTGCCTTCTTCTGTGTGTGAATGGAGTAATTGCTCGGATGCCACGGAGTAACCGGGGAAGCCCCCGGAGGAAAACTCCGTGGTGCCTAGACCACGGCCTTCCCCAACACAAGTTATAAAGTCGGCCACCGCCGGGAATCGAACCCGAGACATCAGAATTACAAGGCCAGCGTTCTAACCGCTAGACCACAGTGGCGGTTACGATAATAATAATGTATCAAATCTCCTTTTGGGGGACAATACTCACAGTTAAAAAAATAAATATTTTTAATGGTAACGCCTCAAAACACAGTTGGCTGTTTTTTCCTGCCAGTGGATGGGAAATTCTGAATTGTAGCACTAAAACGCATTTGGGAAATTTGATGCTACGAACGTGGCAGTTCTTACCAACCCAAATGCGCAGAGAAAATATGCAGTGTCGAGTGCACTTTACGTGATGTCTGTCACCTGTCTAGGGCGTACAGCTAGGTGAAGCTGCTTCGGGGTGTTATTGATTCAGTTCTGGTGTAACGTGTTTTGCTCCACCCACCGCTGTACTGGTATTATCTGTCTTTTTAGCTACAACCGCCTTTGTAGTGGAAGTTAAAAGAACATGGAAATTAATGTTACATACACTGCGTAATAGAAGACAAGTGACAAAAGCGAGGCGCACTGGACTAGAATCCTCAAAGAAGCAAAATCTGTACAGAACGAAGAATAGTTTGGAAGAAAACAGTTGAGGAATGAAGTTAGAACATTTCGCCTGGAATAGGATCTACTGGCTGATGCTGTGTGTTTCCCCTTGAAGTAACAGAAGTGACGAGTGATTCTAATCATGGCGGCTGTGCGATTTTCTGATCACGCTCTGAGATTTGATATGTAAAGGATCTGTTTGTTTATTTGTTTAAATTTGTTTAAATCTTGCCAGTCTAATCACAATAAAATTCCTATTAAATATTAAAATATTACCATAATTAACATTTAAATATTTAAAATATATTAAATGATGTTCTCTATCGAAATGTTCGATTTACATTATGAAATGCTAAAGCAAGCTTTTGGGGAGTCCGCAATGGGTCGTGCACCAACTTTTGTGTGGCATTCACGTTTTAAAAATGGCCGAACCTCTGTCGATGATGCCGAGCGTTCTGGACGACCATCTTCGAGCGCAACGCCCGAAAATGTTACGAAGATCGACGTCGTACCATCAACGACTTGTGCGACATTGTTGGGATAGGCTATGGGACCTGTCAGCTGATTCTAAAGGAAGAACTCCACATGCGACGCATCCTGTCTGAGGCCCAGAAGCAGAATCGACTTCTCGTTTGTCAGGAGCTCAAAGATCTTGCAAGAACCGACCCCAACTTCCTTTCTAAGCTCCGTGTGACTTCTTCCTCTTCCCAAAGATGAAAATTTAGCTAAAGGGAAGGAGATTTGAGACGATAGAAGAGATTCAGGCAGAATCGCAGATGGTGCTGGACAAGCTGACAAAGAAAGATTTCCAGCGATGCTTGCAGGCTTGGCAGCTGCGCTGGGATCGTTGTGTTCACTCCCAGGGGAACTACTTCGAGGGTGATGGATGAATTTAATACCTGAGATAAGTGTTCGGGTTTTTATAGGCCCAGTCTTGAAACTTTCCGATCGCACCTCGTATGAAGGTGATTGATTGTCTTTCGGATGTTGCGCCATGTTGTCTCATAGGCGTAACCGTGGTTACGAAGTTACGACTTACGTAAATCGTGTCAGTGTGACAGTTCGATAATTTTTCTGGTAACTTCACACAGATGAAGATAAGAGCTTAATATGTTCGCATTGGGACTGGTTCCAGGAGATAAAAGTCAGCGGTAATGCTCGCTCTATCCTTGTTGGTAGATTTCTCACAGATTATTTGGTAGCCCTTCAACAGTCTTGTGTCTGCATTTACCTGGATTATTCTCAAAAATTCTGTATCGATCATGAATTGGTCGAAATGGGGCTGGTGGAATATCACGTGCGCAAATTGTTAGTATTGTTGCCCTCGGTGGACTAGTGGTTAGCGTGCTCGCCACTGGACCCAAGGTTCGCGGGTTCAATCCCGGCCGAGGTCGATGGATTTTTAAGGGTGATCCCCGGAGGGGAAGTAAAGCCGGCGGTCCCATTTCGTAGATTTACGGCATGTAAAAGAACCTTGAGAGCATGATACGAGATGTTTCATAAGCAAAATTCAGCGGCCATTTCTCACCCAAGTCTCTCCTGATTCACTGCTTCACTGCTAGATGGCTCTGGCAGTCAGGAGTGAGTAGAATTTGTGCAAAGTCAGTGGGCTGGTCACTCACTACTCTTCATTGCACGCTTTAAAGACTATGAAACCTCCGAAAGGAGACCCTATGCTCCACTTAGGAGTTACAGGAACTATCTATCTAAATTGTTAGTATTAATATTGATGGCAACACTAGAAATGATCTAATTCGATCTGACAGGCTGAATTTTGTAGAAGTTTGTAAGATCTGAGGTTTTAACAGCGGTGAGTATGAAGATTTCTATCTTCTGGGTTGTTGCGCTGTGTAGTATGGTCGATGTTTACCAACATTTCGGAGGTCATACTGCCTCCGTCATCGGGGCGATCTTGTAGAAGTTTGTTTCGTTTGAAATTCAGATTTGATTGCCTACGTTATTGACATTATTTTCGTGATGAATATTATCTTTTTTCAGAAATAAAATATATATATATGAGGAACCTTAGGTGTTTAGCTATAGAAGGATTTCCGTCTCATTATAACCATCGATAAAATAGTCGTGTTCATTTACACAGCCCAGCCAATTTTTGAGAAATTTCCAGTTGTTTCGTTACGTCTTACGCTTAAAATCGATTTTATTTTTTCATTGTGAATTATAATTTGACTTTCTGAGCACTTCCCCACAGCTTTCTCCAGTTCTGTGATGTGGATGCTGGTCCAGATGTCTGAGTTGTAGATGTTTCCTGTTTGTTCAACGACGTACTCACCATGTTTTCTTTTTCCGAACCGATGAAGCCTGATTTACAACACTCTTTAGTCTCATACGGAAGAAACATTTAACTTACAATGAAGCTCACTTATGTTCTTAATCTTGTAATTTAATTTAATTTGTTTTAATTTGAGACAATCTACTTCGAGTACCCTGAATCATTTTGTCAAATTCTGCGTCTGACCAGGCCTTGGGGGTGTCTGTCCGCTTTTATCCGCATGAAGTCCTATCACTTGTATGATTATAATTTATAAAACATGTACATTAGAAGCGGTTGAACAACAATAAGTTGCATTGAATTTGTTTTCGAATTAAAATCCTTTATAAGTTATTTATAAATAGATATATATTTTACAGAAATCTTATCTTTCCTTAGAATTTTATTTGCTGGAGGCTATACGCGTTTTACTAACGTTACCACAATTTTTTCTTTTACAAAATAATATTCTTCTGTTATCCTTCATTATATATATTTATTTGTATTTTCTTCTAAGATGTGAACTAAACACGACATCGTAACTTATTCTTTGGCATGGATTGAATGTCTCATCTTGGCATAGTCGAAGTGATAGTGTAGTACAGTATTAAAATATCTCTTGTGTTTGTTTTCAGCTCGTCTTAAACGCCGCCAGCTTTCTAACAAAGATTTGGATATGATCCGTGACTCTACCCCTGCTCTCAGCCAGGGTTCCACTCAGATGTTTCGTAATCTCCGAGACAAAGGTACGGAATGGGGTCTCATCTTGGCACAACTAAGGTCAAATATGTCTGTAGAAGAATATTTCTGTCTTCTGGGTTGTTGCGCTGTCTAGTCTGGTAGATGTTTACCAACGTTTCAGAGGTCATACTGCCTCCGTCATCAGGGTATGAAGATTTCTGTCTTCTGGGTTGTTGCGCTGTCTAGTCTGGTAGATGTTTACCAACGTTTCAGAGGTCATACTGCCTCCGTCATCAGGGTATGAAGATTTCTGTCTTCTGGGTTGTTGCGCTGTCTAGTCTGGTAGATGTTTACCAACGTTTCAGAGGTCATACTGCCTCCGTCATCAGGGTATGAAGATTTCTGTCTTCTGGGTTGTTGCGCTGTCTAGTCTGGTAGATGTTTACCAACGTTTCAGAGGTCATACTGCCTCCGTCATCAGGGCGATTCATCAACCCAGAAGACAGTCGTCTCTGACTTTTAGACTTTTTTGTTGAAATTTTATAAGCAATTCTCATTTCCCAATGTGTTCTACTTGCCCCGTTCATCCAATCCTCCTTGATTTGGGTACTTCAATACTTATGAAGAACACAAAATATAAGGATTGTATAATGATGCTTTATGGGTGTGTAATCTTTAGAGCTTTGACGTCATTTTAATTTAGGGAAGATTCTATACTGTTGATAAATTTTTCCTAGATGAATATGCATCTGTTGTCAATAAATATCGGTGTCAGTGATAAGAATAGCAAAGACTGCGTTTGTAAAGTCTAATTTAACTTGCACATAATCTAAATTTAAAAGTTAATTTTAGTCTATATGAACTATTCAAATCCTAATTCCGCGAAACAGATGCAGCTGTTTGAATCTACTCCAAATACTTTGTTTGTGAGACTTATTATTTTTTTTAAAAAAAATACGTTTGAAAGGTTAGCGTTGCTCGTAAAGATCAGCGAAATGTAATATATCCATCGCCTTTCACGTAAAACCGGAACGGGGCTGACACGAAAGTTCAGTTTTAGAACTCACGAGGGGCAGACCGACTGGACTTCACGAGGTGCATGACAGACCCTCACGTGATGTGACGTAAAAGTGGTACGCGCCAACAGGCAGGACTTCGGCGCATTCGTCTTTGTATTCTCAGGACCATCTCAGTTAAAACGAGCTTCTTGTAGGCAGAATATGTGGGTTCGATGTTATTTTTCTTCTGGACAATCTCCATCGGTCTATACAGGGTGAGTCAGAAGTATGTTTACAAACTTCGTGTGCGTGTTCCAGGATCAAAAGTAAGAAAAAATGTTCCTATGAACATGGGGTCGCAAATGTTTCATTTTCGAAATAATAGCCAAAAAATAGTTTTCAATGTATGCCTTTATTTCCACGTATAAGAGCAGGGATGTTTCTTTATAACAGATGCTCAAAGATTGCTCCTCCATTCTCCACACATGCACGAGCACGACGTACACACGACTGACGAATTCGTTCGTACACTCCAGGGTTTCCTCGAACCATCTGGCATGCATTCTGCAAACGTTCCCATAGATCGTCATCATATTTTATGGGTGTTGCATAAACGACGGAGTTCAAGTAACCCCACAGATAAAAGTCCAATGGTATCAGGTCCGGTGACCTCGGTGGCCAGGCTACTGGGCCACCACGCCCAATCCATCGCTGAGGTTACTCTTCATTGAGATGATCTCTGACGCGATGGGAGAAGTGCGCTGGGGCTCTGTCGTGCATAAACCACATTTGTCTTCTTGTATTCAGTGGTACATCTTCAAGGAGACGTGAAGTGTCTTCTTAAGAAGGCCCTTTTAGACGCGATGGAAGCATGTGTGGACCAGTGAGCATGTCGCCAACAACTCCTGCCCAAATGTTAATTGAAAATCTTTACTGGAAGCTGGATTCACTTTGAAACTTATTTTTGGATATTATTTCGAAAATGAAACATTCGCGACTCCATGTTCATAGGAACATTTTTTCTTATTTTTGATTCTGGAAGACGCACACGATGTTTGTAAACATACTTCTGACTAACCTCTCCTGCCCAAATGTTAATTGAAAATCTTTACTGGAAGCTGGATTCACTTTGAAACTTATTTTTGGATATTATTTCGAAAATGAAACATTCGCGACTCCATGTTCATAGGAACATTTTTTCTTATTTTTGATCCTGGAACACGCACATAAAGTTTGTAAACATATTTTTGACTCACCCTGTATATTGAAATAAAGCCACGGCGTTTAAAGGTCATAAAACAAACCTTCACAGTGGTTTCGTGTAGAAGGGCTAATCCCAGTCTCTGTCTGGAGTTAACAGGACGGGATTAAAGGAGAAATGGATACAGTTACGTAAAATTGTTAGGGTGATGACAAAAAGGGGAAAAGATGTTGTGAAATTTTGGTCTTTTATGTTGGTTTGTAGATAATGAACTTTTGTAAATACTTGATTAATCTCCGGGTTATATAAAAACAAGATGTTTCTTAATTAACTGAGCAACGGTTTGCTGTACGGATTTTTTTTGTAATTTAGGGATAGCTTATTAGTTTTCTGCTCGGATATTCGTCCTAGATTAAATTATGGACATCCTAATTGATAAGAAATTCGTTCATTGATGTTCATTCAATCTTAATACTAACAGTCATCAAAATTTCCAACATGGCGAATGTGCGAAATAACAAGGTAGGAACCGCAAAGTTCTGTTCAGTATAGAGGCTGATATTTAAAAATATTTGGTTTTATGAAATTGATTTTTGCATGAAAATATGAAATAACACGGTGACAGCTTGAGAAATTTGGAATTGTTTTTATGTATTTCGACATGCCTTGTTATGGCGTCATCAGAAGATTCAACATTGGTTACAATCTGAGATTTTAAGACAACTAGAGATTCTAAAATCACGAAAATAAAAACAGGATAAACACTATTCAATTGTAAGGGCGCTGTAAAATGTAAGAGTTAGGAGACTAATTCCGTCCCCGCAAGTTTAAATAAAATTCGTTCCAATATACACATATAAAACACAGAAAAGTGCCTTGTTAACTTCCTAGACTCGAAGTGTTTATGTTAATTTATGGTTTTTAAGTTCCAGTTTGTCGTAGAGTTTGGTTTGCGTTTTCCTCGTTCTTCTGGCAGACAATTTTGCATGCGCAAAATGAAGTTTGCACTGGAATTGCATTAGGACGAGAGTCTTGACATTTCCTGGGGTGGCCGGTAGGTGCTCTCATGTCTACAAATATCAGTTGAGAGACACGCCGCTGGGGTTGCGCCACATTTCAGTGAGACTTTCATTTCCCGCTGCATATCGACTGGAGTAATAATGGCTGACATAAATCAGCTGCCTTCCTGTGGGAAGGTGTAGTCTGAAATTGAGAGAATATAGAATCGTGCATAAATATTCTTTCTCATGTTGTTTATGTGCAGCGCGCTGAAAACTTCGCTCATTAGACCAAGGACAAATGAATGAAGTGTATATTCTCCATAGAACACATGAGAATTTAAATAGGTTAGGTTATGTCTGGCTTTTATTTTATTAACATTATGGTCGACGAGAGATGCGATATCTCGATTTCAGAACTTCGAGGACTGCATCTGATGTAGGCTGAAATTATTGTTGCAGATAATTACTGAGTCATGAAAGTAATTTAATCTGTGAATAACTCATTCATGGGTTGAATATTTATTTCTGTAACTTAGGTTATAGTCCATATCCACTTGAAAACAGATAATAGCTGTATGCTATTTTTATATGAAACTGAGTTAATAATAACCTCTCAGTAAGCCTTATTTATAGAAAAGGAAATAACATATTTGACAAAATGTTAATTTAAAATGACGTTGATAAAATATAAGTATTTTCCGTGTTTGTATTGTTCTTTAAACAAATCGTTCGATTGCTGTTTTTAAAAACGTACGTAGCTGAAAACGAAAGGTATAGTCGTCAGTTTCGTAAAAAAAAAAATTACAGCAGTGTCATATTAAAAAAGGAATCCTATAAAAACGTGAGGCGTGTATTATGTCACCGTTTCCAGTTTCCTTCTTTCTTTCTTTTTTTCTCAGAATAATGTCTTCTGAAAGTTTGTCTATATTTTTCTCAAGGTTCGTTATGGTAATCCTTATTTTTCGGTGCAGATGTTAATCTGTTAACTTGGAACAAAACTTATTTATTCCAAAATTAAAAAAGAGAACATTTGTTCATTTATATAATTGCTTAACCGCCACGGTGGTCTAGCGGTTAGAACGCTGGCCTTGTAATCCTGGGGTCTCGGGTTCGATTCCCGGCGGTGCCCGAATTTATAACTTGTGTTGGGCAAGGCCGTGGTCTAGGCAACACGGAGTTTTCCTCCGTGGCATCCCAACAATTACTCCATGCACACACAGAAGAAGGCAATGGCAAAAC